CGATCAATCGTTTCTCCCCTTTCTCTCGCTGTTCTTTCTATTTTTCTTATTCCAAACCCTTTTTCTTTTACCCTAGTTACCATATAATTAAGTATAAAAGATGACCAAAGTAACCCACTAATTAATTTAAGGTTATCTCCTTTAACCCCTAAGTAATTGAATTATCAACATTCACCCACTAACTTTATAATTATAAGCAGGAATAGTCCAAAACGCCCCTTAAAATATTTAACAGAAATCCGACCCAGCCAGGGTTACGCAGTCTGTGACGGGCAGTCGTGCCTGCGACGGTCCGTCCTGCTGAGTCGTCACAGAGTTCAGAGACTGAATTTTACTAAAGGGCCTGTAACGGTCCGTCGTGCCCACGACGGTACGTCCTGTCATGTCGTCGCGAAGTTGAGAGAGTTGTTCTCAGTACCCAATTTTTCAGAATTCTAAGTGTTTTGGAATGAGACACCCTCGATGGTCCGTCGTGCCTATGACGGTCCGTCGTGGGATTCGTCGACCCAGACAGTGATTTTCAGAATTTAACTCTGCTGCTCCAAACGACTAACAGGTCGTTACAGTTATATTTTCATCGACTAATTTTATTGCCCCTCCACACATAATAGGAAACACTTATCAAGAAATCAAAACACATGCAATATTAAGGACCCAAACAAAATGCTACAAATTGATATTATTATAATAAAAATCAAAATAACCACTATATTATTACTCTACGAGCAGAACACCAAAGATACACATTACGTGGGCCTTGTCTAACAAACGACGACTTTCGATTCTTAATCGACATAGGTTTTTCTTTTTGTGTAATTGAATTGGATGGACTTGCAACCCTTAGGCCTGCCTCTGTCACTAATGTTTTCATAAGGAAGCCATCGAAGGCTTTCCACAAATTGAGATTTGGCCGTAGAAGGATCGAATTGTATCCAAAGAACAGGGGGATACAAAAAAAATTGGATGTATGAAGTCAACTATTGGTTTGGTAAGAAATGAATTTAAAAGGGGGAAAAAATTCAATGATTTATGGAATGTGAAGAATTAATTTGGTAAGAAAATGAACATAAAAGGAAAAATATTTTTTTTTCAAAGATTTATGGAATATGATTAAATGAACTATGGATATAAAGGAAAAAGATTAATTTTTATTTAGTGTTTTATGGAATATGGTTTCATTTTATTTTGTTTTAGAATGACCATGTTTGATTTTAAAATGCATATAGGTCCTTAATAAGCAACATGATAATTCACTAGTGTTTTATTACCTATTATATGACCTATTTTGACTCGATCCATTTTGTCCCAAATAAATTTAGAATGAATTAGTTTTTAACCTTTTATCATCTTGATTTATTATAATCCGCTCAAATTTAATTTAATCAACTCGTACTAAATTATCGTTACCTCCTAAAATTTTCCGACTTCAATTTCACAACACTTGTAATTTAACATTTAACTCTATATCTTAATAGGAAAAACTACGTAATTCGACATATATATTTTACTATTGTATATTATTATTATTTATAGTTTCAAAATATTACATATTTGTCATTAAATTAAGAGTTTTTTACATCTATATTGAAAAAAATACACTTAAATATATGTATTTTTTTATCAGATACAGTAAAATAGAGAAAGAAGCGAGCAAAATGAGAAGAGATGTAAGCGACATGGGGGAAATTCGTTATGTATCCAAATACATATGAATCACACTAAATACATATGTATGTATGTATGTTATAGCAATAAATATAATTAAATTCATTGTAACAATATCTATCCATTTCTTTTTTCTAGATAATGCTAATTGTAACACTGCAATTTAAAAATATATTTTAATGTTACTATCAAGAATATATAGTGACATATACAAAAGATATATAGTGACATAGAATTGAATGTACATTGATACAAATCTATGAGAAGTGGATTATTGGTGTCCTAATAATATAAAAGAATTGTAAAAGAGGAAATAATAATAAATATTCATTAATTTATGGAATATGATTTTCATTAGTTTTATTACTTGGTCAAACAGTATTTAAATGTCAAATAATACAAATCTATAAAGTGAATTATGAAGATAGTCGTAGACAGTAAAGTTTTATTGATAAACATGAAAAAACTTATAACATTTTTTACCTACACGATAAATCTCATATATATAATTAGAAAAATCTTTCTAATTAAAATTTGAATTATTAAATATGCGCTTTGGAGTTGTATGATCTATTTTCTTAGTTCACTAATTCTTTAATTTTATATATGGATATTAAGTCCAATAAAATTTAAATAACTTCACTCATTTATAGGCCAGAGTTCTTTTTTTTTTTTTTTACACTTTTTTCCCTCTGGCCTGTTACTATAATTTACACAGAAGCAATAAGAGTTTTCTACTTTTAACTGAAGTTTAAACATTAAACAATTACTATCATGAAAATGCCAATGTACATAGTATAACACCTCTCACATTTGTATACATGTGTATATTCATATGATATATTTGCTCTTTTTAAGCTACTCTTCATCAACTGAGAAATCAGGTTCTGCAGGCTTCTGTAGTGAGCTAACTGCATTGGAATCCGAACTCGAGTATTTGTGATGACCTCTTCTACTTGTTGTCAATCTTGCTGCAAAGCCTGAGCCTGGAGCTGATGCATTTTTATCCAATTGTCCGTTAACGGACTCAGTTTCATCCATAAGATTCTCCAGAGCTTTAAGCTCAGCTATACCCTTTCGTTTTTTATGTCTACGCCATGCTGCTTGGATGAAACATGCAGCCCAAGTACGCCACTGGTGTGAGTAGAATCTGAACTTGTGTCTTAGTTGTTTGCTATGTAGCCTTCGGAATTGTGCTGCAACAAACTTTAAGTCCTCTGCTACTAGCGCGAAAGACTCTACTTCAGATACTGCTTTTACTGTCCTAGTGGAGGATGGAAGGATCACACCTGGACGTGGGTCGAGTGCCCATGTTAACAGTTCCTCACCACAGAAGTCACCTGGACCAATACGGCAAGAATTGAAGAAACCAGTACGACCACCATTCGTGGTGTAAGAATCAAGATTTCCTCGAATTATGAAGAGCATCTCGTTGACAGGATCACCCTCGCGCACAAGACAAGTGCCTTGTGTGCATAATGCGGGTTTGAGCCTCTCACATATTGCATCCAGCATCCTTTCATCCATTTGATCAAACAGAGGAACCTATCAAAGTTTGAACGATGGTTAGTCAGATAGGTATTGTACTAACATTGACATAAACAGACGCTCAAACTTGGCCTCAGCTGGCAAGGTAAGCCGTCCAACTTTTAGAGTGCACATCTAGACAGATACCTCAACTCGGTCTCAACCGATAACTAAACACTCCAACTCTCCCCCGCTGTGTCTCGTGGACGGTAGACGCTAACGTGATACATAAATTTTAGGAGGTGTATAGAAGATCATTCTGTAAGTTGGTGTGTTCAACTGACACAATGGAGACAAGTTGAGGTGTCTAGATGTGCTTACGTGCCGGATGAGTCCGAGTTTGAGCGTCTGTTATGTACTATGCCGAAATGACTCTATTTTTCCTTCTCACACTACTTTCTAGTCTATTATAGCATGAATCATGTTACCTCGACTATTTTCTAGTATTGCTTCGAGCACTCCGAGAACAACTTCTTTTAACTTACATGCATACCAATACTATACTATAAGATGAAACAACTCTAGAACTCACCCTTCGGACTAAATCATAGCACAAATGGCGCTTGATATCTCTACGGAGATCTAAAGGAAGTCCTTTCAGAAGAGCTTCCTCATCCACTCCTCTTGTAGCCACCCATTTGTATTGATCATACTTCCGTACAGACTGCCTTAGTTCTTGAGGTAACTGCCTATGATGCATCCATTGTTCTGTATCAGTTCTCCTGATTCTCCATTCCTCTAATCTGACAGTTGTTGATTGGAGATACGTCTGCCAATAAAGTGCGTGAGTATATATGTATTACCAACAAACAAATTGAAGTCGCGTTACAACCCTAAAGGCTTTGAAAAATATGACAATATTTTCATGTTCGGTGGTGGACAACAAGCCTAAAATGCAGTTAAAGGGTACATGAGTGGACTTACTTGCATATTTCCAATCAGCAATGCAAACAGAACTAGGCCGAGAGTTGCAATTATGATGGCAAAACCAATTTCTCCAATGTAAGTGCTTGTCGCGAGATTTTGGCCCAGAGAACTGTGTAGCAGACAACATAAAACTGAAGTCAAGATTCAACAACATATCTAGTATAACCCCACGAACGGTGTCTGGAAGTGCAAGTGCACGCAGACCTTACACCTCTATACCTTTGGGGGGAGAGAAGTTATATTTTAAAAAAAGTTCTAACGATAAAACTGGAGCCAAAATCTCCTATGTATAATCATCAGCTATCCTCCAGTACAACGAATAGTTGCTCATACAAATAATAGACTATGTAAAACTGTATAGGCAAATTTTCATTTCTTATTTTCTCGAACATAAAAGCCTTATCATGTAAAGGACTACAGAAATATGCTTCCATCTAAAAATAAAGCCATTTCGATGGAATGCAAGTTCCAAATCCACGATCACATACAGTAATAGAAGAATTTCAAATTCTGTTTCACTTCCCTAAGCATTTTAAAGTACCTTACCTTAGGTTCTTCAAGCCCCACCATAGGCAGTAGAAGTATTTGTTGAAAAACGAAGCAGTTGTAACATTAGCTGTCACAGCATCACTGTAAATGCCAAAAGGGTAATCACTAGTATTAGGAGCACATTGCTTTGTAATATTGCTAGACTGGAACCAGGCACTTCTTTGTGGTTCATTGACCCTCCGACAATCAAAATATCCAAAATCACAAGATCGCTCCTCAAAACTGCAGGCGTGTCTCCAACAAGCTTCTTGCCTCTCAATTGATAGAAGATACCAGCAAGCTCCTCCTACCTGAATTCGCAAATAAGAAAATATCATTGACTTGTATACCACAAACTATTATCACTACTTGTAACTACAAGTGGCTTATAAGAAAAAGCTTGAATAAAAAATGTATAAATTTTGTATAATGAACTAGGACTTTACTCGGTCTAAAACAGTTCAAATAGTCCCATATTTTAGATTTGAACCCCCCTCTGGACATTCCAGTTCTTTTGAGATATCATTTACTCAAAATGAAGTTTGTTTACAGCAAAATCGATTTTTAGAACTTGAACTTCGAGCTTCTTTAATGACTGACAATAGAGTTACACTCGTTTTAAGTTTCTTTTTCTTCCTCGAGATCTGCTTGCTCTTTTCTAAGCAAATTACTCAATAGTGTAACTTTAATGCTACGTGATACACAACCAAAGTAAATTCTTAAAATTGCTATTCAAATCCACTTACATGGCTGGCTAACATGTAAAGCATCAAATTGTAAGCAGCTCCAGCCCATGCTGTTTCAGTGACAACACCAGTAGTCTTTACTATTTGTGATGAGAGCGGAAATATGAGGTAAAATCTGGGAAGGTACTGAAAAATGATAATGAATCGAAGGACATTCTTCGTATTTGCCATCGTTGAGCCACTTAAATTAGGGATAATGCCCCAAATTAATACCTGAAACAGAATAGATTCATCAAGATTTTCAACTTTAGTCCACTAAGAAATGTAATTACGCGAATTTCAGTTGACAAACCTGTGGTAAAGGCAGGGCAGCAATGAGATCAATCCAGAAACCTTTTTTATAGTATCTTTGAGCTATTTTTGAAGAATCTATAACAAGCTCTCCTCTCCCAAATACTCGAGAAGATGGAGCAACATAAGCAGTTCTAAACCGAATATATATCTGAATCATATAAAATACATCAGCTATTGATCTAATAACTGTAAGGGCAATTTCAAGATTAGTTCCTATATCTATGCAGACTTCATCTTGGACCACCGGCAAGTAAAAGAATAAAGGGTCCACGAATAAACCAATTAAACAAGCTACTAAGAGAATCTTGTTCCATCTACGAACTGTAGGTCCACGAGGATCAAGTATCTTTTTCTTCACTCTTTCATAATCTTCTGAGAAAACCCGCGATAATACTTTAGCCTTCAAGGATTTTCCAGTCCTGTGAGGTTCCATTTCGCTCATTCTACTAGCTGGCTCAGGTAATCGCGATCCATCAATATTGTACTTAACTTTAATCACATTATCTCCATTCATCGCTGCATATTTTGATGATTCAAGATCATCTTGGAATCTGAAACAAGAAATAAACCTTATAACATAATCAATGATGATCAACAACAACAAGAAGCCCAGTATAATCCCACAAGTGGGGTCCGGGAAGGGTAAACTGTACGCAAATCTTTTAAAACAACAACAAGATAATCCATATATCAACAAACAATGAAAACGAGGCGATAGCAACAAACAGAACAACAACAAGATAATCAGATATCGAGGCGAAACAACAAGTAGTCATAGAAAATTATCTAAAATTAAGGGAAAGAAACGAATAATACTAAACTCGGGGAATCAAATGACAATGTCATAACAGATGCTCTATACAAAAAGATAAGCATAACAGCTAGCAAATGAAAGATCAAACAGAACAAGAATCCCATACTTAATAACATAATGGAATATCTCAAAAATGGACTAACCTTACAGATCTTGAATTACCATAAGCCATTACCACCGACTTAATAACCCGTCCCAATAACAGGACTTCAGTTAATCAACAGCATACAAGCGAAGCAACACAACGCTAACTCAAGAGTTTGAACACACTATGCTCAACCTTGAAGTCTCAAGAGCTTCAATTATAGGTTTTTAATCTGTGGAACATAACAAAAAAGAGAAGGTCTGTGACTATCACGGACAAATAACAAGAAAATGATTCAGGATAAATTATAAGCCAAACAATACAAAGAGAACTAGCTGTTCTTTTTTCTCTTTTAGTAGAAATCATGTGAAGAACTCAAAAAGTTGAATACATACACACATTACACATAAAGTAGCTAAGACTCTACAATTAATACTCCAAACTTCTACAAGTCTAAAATATAGACTAAAAATTCAAGTCAAACTTGTGACCAAGTCTTCAAATCTCATTGTCAAGTTAAATAGTCTATCAAAAACTCCACATCTTTCAGAGAAAAAAAAAATACATCTTTGATTTCTCAGTCCATTAGCGGAAGAAACAGTCAACACCTAGAACCAACCTTAAATACATTAAATTTGTATTATAACAAACAATAACCAAAGAATGCATCAACCCTTTAGAGTATATACTATAACAAAACAAAAAAAATTAGTCATACATTCTATAGTGAACAGATATGGATAGAAAACAAATTATACTACTGGACAAAAAGGGGTTGCTCGAATGGTAGGCACCTCCACTTGCACCACTTCCAACCATGAAACTATGAGTTCGAGTCACTAACGGAGCAAAAAGATACTTAGTACCCTTTAATAAAACAACTAACCATCAAACTTTGAGGAACAAAATCAAATCTTTTTATTTTCTTTTCAAAAATCCCTTCTCTTTTTTTTGGGTTTGTTGATTTCTGTTTGTTTCTTTATAAATTTCAGTGAAAAATCAGAAACACAATACACTAACTTGTTTTTTTTATAAATAACTATAATCTTTGTTTGAACAAAAATACATACAACATCAATACAAAGCTTAAAAAAAATAAAAATCAAACCTTTTATTTTCTTTTCAAGAACCCCCTTTTTTTTTTGCTAAATTTCAGAGAACAATCAGAAATCCAACACACTAAGTTAAATCAAGAAAAGGAAAGACACACACTTTTTTTTATAAATAGACAATGTTCCCCCTTCTCCACTTTGCTATTTGTAGCAACCCCAGTTGCAGAACTTTGGGAGAGAAGGATTTTCAGTTACAAAAAATTGGAATATATATATATATATATATCACACAATTACAATCTTGTCTTTTTCTTGCTGATACTGTACTACACTTACTAAAAATCAAAATAATATATATATATATATATATATATATATGCAGATATCCAGGCTAGAAAAAAGTTCACAACTGGCATAACTGTGGATTTTTTTGTTTTTGTTTTTGGATTTTTTGATTTTCTAAAAATCCAAGGAGTTGACTAAAATGGATAGTGTCATGTGGCAGTGTAAACATATTGCCACTATTTTTTCATTTTAAATTTTAAATGAAAAATTGGTGCTTGACGTAAAGAGATTATTAGTACCACGTGAAAGAATTTTAATCTGCGTTATTTAGATGATTGTTATTTGTTGTATTGGATTGGATTGTACTGTTAGTTTAATACAATATTTGTTTTGATTGTTATTTAAATTTTAGTGCATTGTTTTAAATTTATTGATAGGTACTAATGAAAATACCTATTTTATGTATCGATTGATTTGATGTGATTGCATTGTTATCTTAATATTTTCTTATAATTTTTATTTAGTAATTATAATTCACTTTTTATCATATATTTTCGTAATAGCTTTATCGCGTATCTTACTTTTCTTTTATGTATGTTTTTTGACTACGAATGTGTCACATTATGTGACGAGGGAGAAGGATATCATCTATCAAAACTATGTATTCTTTAAAATAATATTTTAAAAAATACGATACATTTGCAATACAATAACACATCATGAAACAATATATAACAATTATCCAAATGTAGTGTTAAAGAATAAGTAGTTATTGTTATTGTTGACTAGTGAATTGTTGTAAAATTATGTGTATTCGAAAGATCGTTAGAATAATATGCAATCACAAATATTATCTATAAGAAGGACATGGAGATTTGCATTTATTAACGTAGGATATTTTGATATTTTGTTTATGAAGTATAATTTACTCATTTGATAAGACTATATAAAATAAAGTTGAACAACTTTTTAATAGTTTTCACAAATTGTGGCTCTTTTATGTCCATGATAAAAGGCACAACTTAAGAAATTAAAAATTACAAGTAAAAATAAAATATAAACTTCAAATCATGTCTGAACGGGGTGTGTTTGACAATGAATATAAATTGGAGTTGTTCATGTAATTTAGAGGGGCGAAAGTGAAAAACAACTTTTTATTGTATTCCAAATTTTTGAAAATTTGAAATTCAACTTCAAGTTAAATCTCAAAATTTTGTGATCAAACATATTTTTTGAAGTTTAACTTTAAAAAAAAAAGTCGAACATATTTCATAATTAAACACTTTTTGAATATCTAATACGTTGTCTACCAAAGTATAAGTATATAAAAAAAATTATTGAATATTATTCGTTACTACAATTCAAGCTATGAATCTGTTCCATACAAAGAAAAATATATTCTAAAAAATGTTTTTAAAAAATACTATTTCAATATTCATTGCTCCCTGAAACTTTTTTAAAAAATAAAAAATAAAAATAAGATGGACTAATTTCTGAAGTAATTGTTTTATTTTTCTTAAAATATTTTTTTCTCCTAATTTAATTTGTTTTGACCTTTCATTAAACTGTACGGACAATTGGGGCTTGTACTTTTTGAAAATGTAGTCTAGAAAAAACATTATGTTCCATAATTAGCAACAAATGGAATCTAAACCCCCACTATTTTTGGTTAGTCAATTAAATTTTAATCTTTTTTTACTCCCAAATTGGATTAAGAAAAGAAACATTTAAAATTGTTTACCTTAAGAGTGAAGTTAGATTAGTGGATCACTAATCCGAGTTGTCTTGCAATAGTGAGATAGTTTTATCCTTAATCGGAGGTTTTGGGTTCAAGCTTTGAATATTAAGATTATTTATTGAAGGTGACGAACCCTGTTGTAATTCACGATTCAAATTTAATCAGAACTTCCATGTGGGCTCTAGACATAGGATGAGAAACTTAAAAATATAAATAATATTTAGTGGATCATCATGAGTTGAGATTAAATTGATTTAAAAATTAAAATTTTATCTGAATACGTAATTTGACGGCTAAATACTTTCAAATATTTTATTAGTTGTTGATATTTTATGTCTGTAAAATAATATTTATCATCACGATCCAAGTTTAGAATATGTACTGTTCGCTTTAGGCCAATAAGTTTCACATATTTGTTTCATTTGCTACACCATTATTATGCCTAAAAGCATGCACATCATGTGAACTTGTGTTATATTTTATGAAAATTTCACTTTTTTTTTCTCATTTCAACGTAAATTCGCCAAAAGTATCATTCAGCTCTCTCCTTTTTCAGAAGTTCGCTTTTATTTCGACTCACGTGTTATTGGTTTTGGCCCAACAAATCTCATAGATTTAATGCATGTATTTTGTGAACTCGTGCTATACAATATAAAGATTTTCATTTTCCTTCACATCCCGATATGAAAATTATTCAAGAGATCATATGCACCTTCTCTTCAGAAATTTTCTAGTTCCTTTTTGTGAGTGTCATCTATTTTAACGATCAAATTTATAATATATTATGCTTTAAAGTACTTATCCACAAAATTCTTCAAAATTATTATGAAATGAATAATCCAACATGCCAAAATCATTAATTGAAGAATAATTAAAGAAAAACAGGAAAGAATTAGAACTGATTCACTATAAAAGAAGATTATATTCTTCACTATTTTTTTTTCTACTTTATCATGATTCATTAAACACATTGTGTTATTATTAGAAAGAATTTTTTTAAAAAAAAAAATGAATTTTCAACTTTAATTGAGTACCAATAACATTAGTAGATAAATTAGTGTTTATATTCACCACCTTTATGCTTAAAATTTTGACTAATTAGTGCTAACAACAATAGTTGCATTATTCCCCTTGTCCATCAATTGCATGAATAGTAAAACTTCTAGAAGATTGAAAACTCCACTACTTATACAACTTATACTACACGCTCGATAAAATTCAGTATAAACTAAATTTCTGAACTTATAAAATTTTAATTGTGAATCTATATATTTTACACGTTTTTTAAGCATAAACTAAAAAATGAATATAATTTAATTTTTTTTTATAAAAAGGAAAAGCATATATCCAACTAAATAGTTTGACAATAGGGTGTTAAAGGGAGTTCAATCATTATCATAAATTTATTTTGTCTTGTGTCACAATTGTCAAAGGGATGTTTAGGTAAGATTGAAGTTTGTTAAATGTTAGCTAAGAATGAGTAGAATTGAATTATAACTATGACTTTTGGAAAATTCACATGTGACTCATACATTATATCGTAGAATAATCAGGATAAAGCTAGAAGTCTAGATATAAATTCGATTTAGTTCAATATTTTTTATTTGACTAATTTATTGATATTAAAAAGAATTATTATTTAAAATACGAATGTTAATATTTTAAATTATCATTCTAAAATTCAGAATCATAAAATTGAAATACTATATTCCCAACATGGCCAACCTTTCCATCCATACCTAAACACTTGTCATAGCATATGTTTCCAAGACATTATTTATCATACTTTCACATACACATGTTTGATTTTATGTGTGTATATAATACACATATAATCTTCATAATTAATAATTAAAAGAGGATATAATATGTGGAGCCATACTATATATTATAAATTATATAAAAAAGATGGAGACAGATTAGTCAGCATGTATGACACATAATTAAATAAATCACTAGCTTACTTATATTTGTTTTGATGTCTTAATAATAATTAGATTTGCTTTTACACTTTCTAATATTATTATTGCACACTTTAATTATGATAATAAGGCTTTTGATAGCACTTTATTTCGTTCTTACTGCTTTTACTTTTGTTTTTATTTTTTTACTGCTTTGAAGATGCTTTACTTGAATCGAGAAGATTTACTGGAAACTATCTCTCTGTTTTTATGAAGTAAAGATAAGATATATCTGATAAACTTATATACTTATAATCACCCTTCTCGAATCCTATTAATTATTAGTAGGCATTTGACCATGTAATTTGAAGCTCAAATTTAAATTATATGATATGTCTATTATTTTCTAATTACGTAAGAAAGTAATCACCTATTAATTATGTAGGGTTTATCTTAGCTAGCAATTCAATGCACAAACACTACTTAATGAAATATATGCTTATTTAAAGCACTATAGTTAATGCAATTTTTTATTTTTTACAAATAAATAAAATGTAGCTTCAATGAAGTGTTTGTATAATTCATTGAAGAAACAAGAATGTATATGTTATAGCCTTGAATAAAAGTGATGGCCAACAATCAATTCCTAGGAGACCATGACTATCTATCTTAGCTAGATCAAGGTCCACATCAAGTCAATTTGGTTTTTATAATTTTTTAACAAATTTATTTGTAATTATCGGGTAATGTCAACATCTTATCCTATAACAAAACTCACAAGGGGGTTGGGTGGTTCGAGTCGTAGACACGATCGAGCATGACACCTACTTAGTGGGATTAGCTGATAGAATGAAATTGTGTCGTTACTATTTTTAATCACAACTTTTGATATGAACATAAGCGTTTTGAGTTCGATTTTCAAGAGCAACATTAGGGTTGTGTATCGGCCGGTCGGTTCGGTTTTAAAGTCTATCGGATTGACTTATCGGTTATTGGTTTGTAGAGATGCTAAATCATTATAGAACCATTAAGAAATTGGATTATTGGTTATTGGTTTATCGGTTTTTTATCGTTATCGGATCGGTTATCGGTTTAACCGTTAAGATTCGACACAAAAGAAAAAATATTGAAAATCACTTAGAAACAAGGTGACAAACCAAATAAACCATGCACTTTAGTTCAAAAGTTACATCTTGCTCAAAAGCAAACACTTTTACATCGTAGAATAATCAAGTGTTTGAGACAATCAAAAATAAAAGTAGTAAATTAAACTCTAAGTCGAGGACTTTATATGTACAATGGTATAAATATAATTATTTAATTTACTATCGGGTTATCGGTTAACCCGTTAAGAAAAAACTTCAAACCGTTAAGAACCGATAACCCGATAACAAAAAAAATCAAAACCATAATCAAAACCACTAAACCAATAACCCAATACTATAAACCAATAACTTTTTTATCGATTCGGCTTATCAATTTCGATTCGGTTTTGAACAGCCCTAAGCAACATACTGCATAGAGCAATTATGTTGGGTAACACCAATATATTGTATGTGGCAAGGCCAACGAGAGGCTTAGGATGACGCGAGTCAGGGTCATTATGAAATACGATGATGTTTTCTTGGTGAATTTAGTTAAGAAGTAAAGTTACACCTTTGTTACTAGCTATAATTTTTGACATGATGAATCAATAAACACTTGAACCTAAGTAATGCGTTATGGTTGATACCCCACTCGATTTCATTTTTTAAAAAAAAAAATTCATACGAATTCAAATGATATATTATATAAATTGAAACAGAAGGAGTATATAATTATATGACGGTGGGAGGGTTTATTTGTAAATTCACAAAGTTAGAACTGCCGGCAGAGAAATTAATGTAAGGTGTTGGGTTGGGCCCCCGACATTGACAGCGAGATCTCGTGGCCCAAAGCCCAGCTATATTATATGGCCCACATGAAAATGTAGATGTTGGGAGTGGGCCCATTTTGACGTTAGCTTAAAGAAAAAAAAACTTTATAAATAAACAATTTCATAAAATAAAATTAAAATGAAAAGAAGAATTCTAATCTTGTTTTTTTCTCTAGTGGAAAAGATAAAAAATTGTACTTATGTACTCTTTTGTTGTACCTTAAAAATAATTTGTTGTTACGATTTTTTCTTGAGTCAGGGTCTACTGAAAATTGATTGTTTATTTAACTGATAAAGGTATGATATGTATATACTATGTTTTATCAAGATCAAATTTTGTATTCAGACCTTGTTTTTTTTTCTCGAGTGAAAAAGAACTAATGAAAATTATTACTACACGTTGGTTCTCGTGTTTTGATTATCTATTGTTTAGAAAAATTTGTTAAACTTTCACTTTGATTTATTCTTTTTGTGTTAGACGACTTTGAACTGTTTTTCCTTTAGTTGAAATAACTTCTCTACCTCTATGATAGAGACAAGGTTTACCTGTATTTTATTTTCTATAAATCTCATTTTGTGAGGCTATACGAAATATATTATTATGGTTGGAAAAAAGATCAAAAAACATGAAATTTTGAATTCAGACCTTATTAGCAGGATAGTTATTGTGTGGGCCATGCTTTTAACTCGCAAAAATTTCAACCCGCACCATTGCCCCACGTGGCAATATTATCTATTTCTACTTGCCACGTAGAGCATAGTAATTTTTTTTTAATTTCTTTTTGAGAAAATACACAAGTACCCCCTAGACTATGACCGAAATCTCAAAGACACAGCTTAACTAAACTAAGGTCCTATTACCCCTCTATACTTTTTTTTTTGTAATTTTGTACACCTTTTGTTTTACGTAGCACATTTCGTGACTCTACACAACTGAGACGTGTGATAGATATTTGAATTTCACGTAAGCCAAAAAGGTGCACAAAATTGCAAAAGAAATAAGTTTAGGGGTAATAGGATCTTAGTTTAGCTAAGCTGTGTCTCTTATATTTCAGTCATAGTCTAAGGGTACTCGCGCATTTTCCTTTTTTTTTCTTGAAATATATACTCTTAGTTTGTACTGTATGATATTTATCATACTTAGACCTGCTTAGAAAAATAGAATACAACTAAAAAGAGCAAGCTCGGTGCATAAAGCATCACGTCTTAGCATAATTCAAGAAAGGGTCGCACCCCAAAAAGTGTGATGTATACAGACTAACGTGGGATCATTTACAAAAGAAAGATGACTATCGTAAACTTGTTTATATCAAATCAAAAAAATGCCCTTTTAGCGCGTAATCATTTAACCAAACTTTTGTAATTCTCTAATACATGAACAATACACTTGTTCATGTGTACTGTTTTCTGGTGATCTCACACTCTCACAGTTGGCATATGAAATTTCTCAAATCGCGGTTCAGTTAAATCAACTGATTCATCATCATGTAAACTCCAACTTTTGGAATTTGAACTCTGGAGCAGCAGATTTTCGACATATGCTGCTGGAATAACGTCTTCTTTTGGATCATTAGATACTCTACAATGAATGAAAGCACAATTTGGCAACAAACAGTGAGCTGCGCGATTCTCTGATGTGATTTGCTTGATCTCCTCGGCTTCAACAAAGCCCGAACTTTCTCCATTACTCTTGTTGTCATAACTGAATGAGCCCTGCATAATGTGCAAACAGTGTAGCACGTTTATCAGCATGGGATCTACTTGTTATGTTTCATCATAACGTTTCGTATTAGATTACAACAAAAACTGGACTTGAAATGTCATTCCAGGGGACAATAATGTCCTCGAGGGCTAGTGGCATACTGTTTGAAACTTGGAAGATAGTAAAGCCTTCCCCTTTATCTAAGACAGGTTCCGAACCTAACATTTCAGCTAGATGAAGTTTCTTCTAAACCGAAATGTATATGTACATTGGCAAATAAGCATATCTAGTCTTTTTACAGGTTTTAGAAATCTATGTTGGAGTCGTATAGAATAGTTGGTAATGTTTATCTGTTTTGTGAAATCGACAGATGACAGATGAATTAAACAACTGTTCAAACATAAAATGGCAAGTAAAAAGCATGTCAACAGAAAACCAAAGTTTAGCTTGTATACCTTGAAGTCATCTCTCGAGAAGTGTTTCCGGTTAGATGTTTCAGGTGCAATAGTTGACAAAATTTGAACAACCTCACTCATAGTTGGCCGAGAATCAGGGTCCAGTAGAAGACACTCCTTAGCCAAGTAAGCCATGACCTGCAATTCTTCCTCTTCAAATTCTCCATTCAGATTTGGATCAGGCAATTCTGAGACCACACGTTTACTGTCTAGTAGACGAGGCGTGGCCTGCATTTAGATGAAAAATAGTAAAATCACCATGATCTTTTTCGTGAGAGAGAACGGAGGTTTTGCAAAGGAGTTTGATAACGTAAATGCAATGTTCCTCCTCTTCCTAGAAAAAGTAAGTAGAAATGCTATGCGATAAATGAAGAAAGGAGAGAAAACATGTTATTAACTTTCCGTACCCATATCACGAGGCTCTCTTCTGCTTTGTTGGCTGACTTATGGATTGGTTGTCGTCCAGTTATCAGTTCAAGTAGCACAACTCCAAAGCTAAAAACATCCGATTTCAGAGAAGCTCTTCCGATAATTGCATATTCAGGTGCAAAATAGCCAAATGTCCCCTGCATCCGCGCAGGAGAGCTGGAACAGCTAGGAATACCATCATTTTGGAGGTGCTTTGCCATACCAAGATCAGTAATCTGAACACATTATGTTCAAGTAGTCAGAAAAAGTGCAATACTACACGAGGAAAGTAATAATGGAAAATGAGACGATTTACAACTTGTAGGTATTAACTCTGGCAATCATACAAAGACAGTAAGTTTCTAACTTACCTTAGCTCTGTAGTTATCATCCAGTAGGACGTTAGTAGATTTAACATCGCGGTGTAAGATTCTTGGTGCAGCTGCTTCATGAAGATACTCCAAGCCACGCGCAGCTCCAAAAGCAACTGCAACCCGTGTGCTCCAATCCAGATGTCTCCCAGAAGCCCCATCCAGACAATCTCTCAGATTGCCATTTTCCATGAATTCGAAAACAAGCAGCCTCTCTGCATGTTTACCGTGATGCTCGGAGCAGTAGCCAAGCAACGGAACCACATGACGATGATGAAGTCTTGAAATGAGTTCAATCTAGGAAATTAAAAAAATAAATTTAAATAAGCTTCTCATTATGTATTCACATGTGTTAAGGCTCCCAAACATGTTTAACTCATAATGTGTATGATCATGATAGGTATTACCTCCGTCAAGAAAGCAAAGTCACCGTCCTGCCCTGCCTGAGTTTTAATTCGTTTAATTGCCAGAGTTTTTCCATCTTTGAAATAACCACGGTAGACGCGGCTGCTTCCTCCCACCCCAATCAAATTGGAATCAGAGAACTTATTAGTTGCACTCTCTAAGTCAGCATATGAAAATTGAATAATCGTTCCATAAAACACTTCTGGTTTTCTTTTGAAAAGATTGGATGCTTTGGGAACACAACCTACACGATAACACAATTCGTGACATCATGAAACTCATACTACATAGTGAAATCACTCTTAAGGATCGAAAGAGCAAGTCCCTTGAAAACTAATAATAAGAATAAAGTCATATAAATATATAAAGAACCTGTAATACAATTGGAGGAACCCGTGTATCCTCCATGTTCTCCAATTGAAGTTGCTTGGCTTAGTATTAAGTTGGTAGCACTGTTGCAACTTGTATCTTTGTCGGACGAAAATAGAGATCGTTGAATAGAATATTTATCCCTTCTATAGGCATAGCACAACATCGAAGCAACGAAACCAAGAGTGATGACCGCCGCACATAGTAAGAGAATGACCAAAATAACTTTACTGGATATCTTCTTCTTTGCGGACTGCATTTCAAGTTGAGTTCCTATCAGAACCAAAGACGTAATTAATCAACTGTCGGAACCTGTTAGCTAAACCTAAATCCAACAGACGTTTTTAAACAGTTTCACAATCAAGGAAAACGAATAAGCAATAAGTGTGTAGAGAACATAGAAGTAAAGTAGATAATTAGTTTGCAGTTTCTATAGCAACAAACGGTTGATGCAATGAATCACTCATTTGATTGACGTGTGTGTATCAACGATCAGACATGAAGAAAATTACCGTAACGACAATCACAGGCTGTAAAACAACTGCTGTGATTATGATCAGCAGCCACTTTAGGAAATCCATCAACTGCACATATACATATCCATTTGTTCTTGCTTGATTCGTCTGCAAAAATACATAGAACAAAATTAGTGCAGAGTGAGCTTTTCTACATTGTATGGTCCTCATATGACAAGATCAACATGTGAAAAGGAAAGAGTCATCTCAAGTTTTCAAAAAGAAACAATTCCGTCCATGTCAGTTCATGAAAATGACATCACGTGAAACTTTTACTTGCTTCGAATAAGTATTAGCAGTTCAAACACCTACAGCAACTGTTACACAGTACTGCAGCAAACGGCTTTCTAAAACAAGGTAAAGAAAATCATACCAATAGTGCAATCACATGATGATGAACAGTTTTCGGGAACAGAAAAACTTGGGTTGGCGAGACAGCTGCAGGTCCAATTACTTGTTACAGATGCATTATGCACTTGTTCATCTGATAAAGAGACAGACGATGTTACAATTTACTGCATGTACAAAGGAATTTACATGGAAGTAGGCGTCCGTAATGCTCTCAACAACAATACTCACCGCCAACAATTTTCTGTATCCACACCAAGGTAATGATGAGAGCAATTGCAGCTTCCTTTCGACCCCTCATTTCTTGTTGTCAAATCACTGAATTGAATTAAAAATGAACACTCGTGAGCAGATTCTAAGCCTCGAAAACACTGTAAAAGCTTTTGGTAACAATACAAATATTTCAAAATAATGTATAAAGAGATATCTTACCAAAGAGTAGTTCATTCACGAAATCTTCATCTCAAGAACCATTCTGCAAGACGGCAATGCCAAATTATTACATTGTATAACATCGTAAATCCAACGAAAATTATCATAAGGTCATCCATAAATCATTAATCTGGTACAAAGAGAAAAGACAAAGACAACAGTCTGGAAACAATTTTCAGATTCTTGCCTCTCAGTTTGAATAGAAAGGTTATCCTATTAGTCTAACATGATGATCAAACTCGAAAGCTGGAATTTTAATAAACATAAATAATCGAGCAGGAAGAGTGAGTAATAATCTGTAGTACACGATAGTTAGGACTTAATAGACAGTAGGCCAACAAATGTAAGTAGGTTTGAACTTCTCTGGATGTACATTATCATCAATGATATCCGGGTAGTTAGTTAGTCTCCTGATAGAAAGTGATGCTCAACTAACAGTTGTAAATGCAAAGATCGAAGAATTGAGATGACATAGTGTTCGTAACATTTGGAAGGAAAGAAACACAATTCCACACGCATAAGCCTAGACAATATCAATCAAGCATCTACTTGAAGGCAACAATCAGCACATGTATATATATCCTACCACATTTCTTGAATTGTACGAGCCACATGCTCCTCTCATATCAACTAAGTCAATTTTTTGTGATCAAACGCGGAAATTGTTAAATATAGAGAGAAAGAAAATCTTATCCTCACTACTTAACTATGCTTATTTCACCATACAAGATAGACCCATCAAAAATTAAGAACAAAAAGGCCAAAAATAGTATATTGACAACACACACCTAAGAAAAAGACATTTGATTTTCTAACACTATCCATCAAGAAGAAAAAAAAAAACACATTTTTCAAGAAAAAAAATACTCACTTTTAAAGATAATAGGTCCGTTAGATAGAAAAATATTCAATTACAAAGTTGAAACCAAACTCCATGAAAGCAACTCAATTTTCAAATCAGAAAAAGACTTGTCAACAATTATTAAAGCAGTATACACTAACCAGTAACAAATACATAGTCAAAATACAGTAACAAACTAATCATTGTTAGGTACTCCTTACACAAGAGTCAAAATTTTCACTAAAGCCGTTCAGAATATGAAAAAATAAACACAGGTTCAACATCTAATATATCTACACATAAAAACTTTTTTAACCATATATAAACGGTACAATTTTCAACTCGGTAACAAAACACATCAAGTAATCAAATAAGTTCATCATCTATTACATATACACATAAAAAAAAAAAAACCTTTTTAACTATAGTATAATTTTCAAACTCAATGACGTTACACATCAAGAAACCAAATGGGGTTGATCATCTACCGTATATATACATACATTAAAAAAAAAAGAACAACTTTTTAAACCATAATACAATTTTCGACTCAGTGACAAAACACATCAAGAGATCAAATGGGGTTTATCATCTACCGTATACATATATAAAAAAAAGCTATTCTTTTAATCATATATAAACAATATAATTTTCCGTAGATACAGTAAAGTGTTTACCAACGGTTATAAAAGACTTTGCTTCCAAGACATTTTTGATAGAATCTAAAAAGCTGTTGTGGCCTGGCGGCCTGCAACATCAACTACAAGTAGCTAAGCAGAGTTTGTTTTTTTCTTGTATCACTAACTCCATTTTTGTGGACTTTCTTGAAAATGATGTTTCTATAAAAAAAAATAAAAAATTAAAAAGACGTGCATATAGTATATGATATGATATTAACAATTTATTTTTTTAATTTAAAAGGAGACCCACAAAATTAGTGTCGGCTGTCGAGTAAAGATTAATAAAGTAGAAATTAACAAAAAGGGACATTATATATATTTGATGCTTTTCTTGTATAATTTATCAATATTTTGATTCTCAGAAGAGGGAAAAAATACAAATTTTCAAAAAATATTCCTTTTTTTCTTTTTGGTATTTTGTGCTGATTTGGCTTCGAATTTGTTCGTATACTAAATTTAATCGAAAAAAATTTAGAAGCATACTCTTTAACAATAACATATTCAATATAATTTTATTAAATTATATAATTTACTTAATCAAATAAAATTAAGAAGAATTGAGCATGCTTTTGCTTTCTAACAACAATAATAACACATATTTTATAATTATACGAGATTTATTATTTACTTAATCAAATAAAGTTAAAAAGAAATAAGCATAAATTATGCACTTTAACCACAATAACAACATATCGAACGTAGTTTTTACGAAATTCATGCTTTACTTAATCAAATAAAATTAAGAAAGAAATGAGTGTATATATATATATATGCTCTATAACAACAATAACAACATATTCAGTTACGTAAAAAGTAACAAGAAATAAACATACATACACTATTTAACAACAACAATAGTAAATAACATACTTGATGTAATTCCATCCGACGAGATTTATGCTTTTTAATAATAATCTACCCAGCGTAATTTCAAAAGATTTGCTCTTTAACTATAATAACAATATACTCAGTGTAATTCTACGAGATTTACGCTCATTTAACGTAAACGTGAATATTGGCTCCAACAGTAAATGAAGAACTGAATATTTTCAACAACAAAATAATTATTTTACCTCTGAATTTTCATACAAAAACACAGTTCACGTAATATGTCAAATTAGCATTTAATTTGAGTAATTTTGTGCTATTATTTTCAATATAGGACCACAATATGAACAATCCAATTACTTTATTTTTCAAGTACTCATTAAAAATAATTGTACCATTAATTTAATAATATCCAATTATCCATTATTATTAAATCTAAACACCAATAATAATACAAAAAATCAAAATCGTCATTATTATTTCTACTTTTTTTTTATATGCCGACACTGAAAATTAATTAAAATCACAAAAAAATTCAAGTTCGTCGACGGCGTACCTATTTAAATCCTCCGGCGACGGCGACGGCGATTTTGAACTGTTCGTTTGTTTGTTTTTTCGTATTTCTCCGTCGCGATGTGAATCGGAGAAATTGCCGGAAATGCCACGTGTACAAGTGAAAAATAAAACAACGAGAATTTAGCTGATGAGAATTTCACGTCACTCACCAGAGAATCTGCCGGAAAAAAAAATTAAAAATTCCGATGCCGAGAAGAAGAAAAAAATGGCAGTGCACCGAGCATTAGTAGAGTATTAGTAAAAGCTTTGCAGAGGTGCACGGATTTCGAGGTAGCCACGTGTATACTGGTGGGGCCCAGGGGGCCATGTGGAAATTTGAATTTCCCGATATGGCAGAGCCATAAAAAATAAATTGAAACTGTGGTAGCAGTTGCCACGTGGCATTATAGTTGACTAGTAAAAAAAATATTTTGGTTTAATAATATTGATTAAAAATAGATAAATTATATTTGGCATTATAGTTGCAAGTACATTTTTTAAAATTATAAAAATAGATAAATTATTTTTGATAGATAAATTAGTATAAGTAAAGCATATAAAATAATGTAAAGTAAAAAATAATGAAAAAGAGCAATGATAATAACAACAAGTAATAGAATTAAGGGCAACTTTCACATATAGCAAACAAAAATTTTATATTTGTATGTTATAGTAAAGTTTGCTTAATTACGCTTCATAGCAAACATAAGAATGTATAATTTGCTGGCCAAAATTGTATAATTCGCTGGCCTAAATTGTATAATTCGCTGGCCTATTTCGCTGCAATTGTATAATTCGCTATCATATTTTATTGCCCTTGTATAATGCACAATTGTATAATTCGCTGCCTATTTCGCTGCAATATTTTTATAAAATTTGCTTTGCATACAGTTGAATCGAATTAAAATGTATGTATATTGCATAATTATAAGTGTATAGTAAGAAGATATATGTTTTTCTCTCGCTTTATACGAAAACAGAAACACAATATATACACTTTGGTTGTATAAAGCTAGAGAAAATTGTATTTCACTGCAATTGTATAATTCGTTGGCCTTTTTCTCTGCAATATTTGAAGTAAAATGTTTGTAAATTGTATAATTAAGTGTATAATACGAAGAAATATATTTTTGCATGTGTATATACAATTTTTTCTCGCTTTATACAAAACAGAAACAAAATTATACACTTCTGTGTGCGAGAGAGGTGAGCGAGAATGGAGAGTGGCGAGCGAGATTTCTGGAAGAGAGATGCTGACAAATTTTAGCTAACGTTTGCTATGGAGCATAATTAAATCAAATCTTAGCTATTCAATTTATTTTAGGTTATTAGATTGCTCTTATATACGATTTTCCCTAGAATTAATAGAGAAAAAAACATGTGAAATTAAAATCTAATATGTTTGATTATTTGTTAATATATTATTATTATTATTATTTTCGATCTTCATATTTTTTTATTTAGAATCATGTTTTTGCTAAGATTCGTGCGAGTGACTATTTTGATTAGCCTCTTACCTCTCCTTGGGCACCTTCTCTTCCGGTGTATATATTGTCTATTGTGAAAGTCATTTTTCTCTTGTCTCAAATAATTTTATTTTTTGATCTTATCTTTTCTAGTATTTCCATTTCTTATATATTCATTTTAACAATTTTAAATTATTTGTATCTTATAATCCGTGTGATTTTGATCTAGCAACACTGTTATTCAATATATTTTAATTGATTCGACTATCATTTTGTAAAATTTAGTTTCAAGTTATGGTGACACATTCTTATCATATAAGATATTGAATTCAAAATTATATTTGATCAGTTTTTGATATGTGACAACACATCATCAATCCATTATTTCTATCAGTTAATAAAAATTTTTTGTTGTTGAGTGATCTTTTGAATGCTACAAATATAATTAACTAAATATTTTATTATAAACAAAATAAATATAAATCATCTTGTAAATAATTCTAATATTATCACCATTTCACATATATGTTGTGACTTGAGCATGTAATATATTTTATTTCTAAGATATTAAATTTCTCATTTGAACAAGAATTATTTGTAAATATCATTAAAGGGACCTGACAAAATAACAAAATTTATATCAATGGCGTATATAATATGTTTCAAAAAAAGTAAAAATAGAATGCATGGAATAGTTTAATAAAGATGTGCTTTTTAAAATTAAAAATAGATGTTTTTTTTATTTTATTTATTATTTTAGTAAATATTTGTCAAATTAAAAATTTCAGTACTATTAATGTCATTAATTAGCACATATTTCAATCACTGACATAAGTAATATTATTATTAATGTGATGCCATGGGATCCCTTATCATTAATTACGTTATTGGAACTTTTTTTTTATGTTGTATCGGGATCATATGATCATTAAAAATGAATACAAAATTTTATATATCATAGATTTCGAACTCAAATATAACATTAGATAAAAAAAAATGAAAATTGATAATTAAATAAATGATTAGTTGGTAATGTACCACCTTTAAGTTGGTGCAATGGCAATGTCTTGCTAGATTAGGTGAGTGGGGTTTATTAACCATTGCACTCATGCAGCTTTTAATGGTCGAGTTTAAGTTTCTTAGGCAGTTTAGTGTATAAAGTATTTTAAGATCGAGAGTAGAATATAGTCAATTTATTTTAATACAAACATCGATAGTTGATTTCACAATTCGAATCTTTGACCTATATGTCATATCAAAACAACTTTGTTGTTGCCCTAAGACTCTTCATGAATCAATTTACGTACTACCATCTACCAACATATGTGTAGTGCAATAAAGAGATTACTTCACCCTTGACCAGATATTCTGGGTTCAAACGCTGGGTATGGAGAAAATCTCACTCTTGAAACGACCTTGTAATGCGTGATCCGAATTTAATCGAGGTTCTAATGTTGACTCCGAACACGAAAACCGAAAAATAAATAGATTGATGCACTAAATTTGAGCTTCACATAGGATAGTGAAGGAAATTTTTTATATATAAATTCAAGAAACACCCCCCCTGTATACCAACAATTACAATGGACTATACCCCAAAACTCACCAAAAGAGAACACAGAATTTCTCCTTTATACACCCATAATAGTCAACAATACAGTTCCACGAGTGGAGTCTGAAGAGGATAGAGTGTATGCAGACCTTACCTCTACCTCGGGAGATAGAGAGACTGTTTCCGATAGAGCCTCAGCTCTAGGATTTTCAATGCTAACCCTCACTCAATTCCTCTTGAAGCCAATTTACTGGCTATTTTTCTTTTGTCTTTGCCCTCAATTCTTGCCAAAATCTTCTTTATTAATGTACATTTTTACTAGAAATATACCTCCCTTTAGCCCATGATTACCCAAAACCCGAAAAGATTGAAACAGGAGGAAAAAACAAAAGAAAAAATCAGTCTAGAGTCTTGACATAACCAATTCTTGAAAGTAGAGGGAAGAAAAGGTGTGTTGAGGATCACCTAGGCTGTTGTCGAGCAGGAAATGATCGTAGAGGCCTTAGAGGTGGCCGAGGAGCTGGACTACCGAGGTACATTGTTTGTGATCGGCTAACCATGTCAATCATGGATGGTGTCTGGTAAGCTTGAATCAGGCTTGTACTATCAGTAGAATCACCACGAGCTGTTGCTCTCTGCCATGAATGTGAACTCAATCCTGACAAGACGTAAGCTCTACCAGATGTTTCATAAACACGACGATTTGCCATCCTCTCTTGCATTTCCTTCAGCTCAGCATCCAGTGCAAGACATAGCCTGTCTCCAGCTTTAGCAGACACTGTTTCTGACAGTTTTTTCCGACAGCGCTCAAGAACAGATACAGCAGCTGCTAAATCACCATTTTCAGCTGCAGATCTTGCTTCAGCCATAGCTTCTGCTGATTGAAGCCGGTTACGCTGCTTGTCAACTTCCATTGACACAATAAGTTGTCCGATTGTGTCAGGCCTCTCAATTTTGACATCACCAATATGATCCAAGGTTACTAAATCCAAGTTGTTCGATTGTGTCGGGTCTTTATATGTACACTTAACTTTTACAAGGGTCATCATATCGTTGCTCGAACTATCAGCAGGAATATCTAACATAACCAAGAAATCTCTTTCTTCATCTGCATATAAGTCTCCAACTTCAATATTGCCACTTCTGTTATCAGATGCTAAACTGGCGTTATAACTTCCAGCTTTTATTGAATTGAGACGCAAAACAGGGTGAACGCTTTCAACTTCCACACACAATTCCTGGACCACCACGCTTAAAAGGCCACCTATGCACTGAGCAAACGCATCTTGAATAACATTCTCAGCTTCTATGAAGGAAAATGTTCCGCCTGAAGTTTCAGAGATCGAGTGCATTGAGACTGCATCGTGGTCAGCACCAAAACCAAATGCGTGCACTGGAATATGGAGACCTGAAGAAGCTGCATTACGCTGCATGCAAGCAGGAAGTAATGATCGATAATTAGTCTGTGTAGCAGCTACACTAGGACTGTTAATGGTATACGTGTCTTGTCCATCAGACAACAATATTATGCTGCTAACTGGATTTTTCCACTTCCGATCAGTCATGATCTTGGCACTCTTCTTTAGGGCCTCAGCGATGTTTGTCCCACCATTGGAACTGAGTGAATTCACAGCTTGTAGTGCTTCTTGCTTACCAGTATCACTCATCCTACGAAGAGGAAAGAGACGACGAGCAGTTGACGAGAAGGCAATGACAGAAAGCCTGTCAGCAGGGCCTAAGTTTTGAATCACAAACCCCATCGCTCTCTTTAACAAAGCAAGTTTGGTACCAGCCATGCTGCCACTAACATCAAGAACAGTCACAAGATCAACCGGAGCTCGGGAATTCTGACCTGTAACTGGCATCCCACTCTGGTTTAGAAGGCCAACAGCACGAGGGGCTTTGAGATGCACCAAAACAGCAAAATTGCTGTGAGATGCTGATTTTGTAACTGCAGAGATCTCCGGCCATGTTTTAACTTCTATTGCCCCCATCGAATGATGATTAGTCACATCAGTTGACGAGTTTTTCTGGCTTCCCATGGGTCGGTGATCAACAACTTCATCATCATCAAACACACTTGGTTCCACAGTTTGAAAAAGATTAGAAATGTTGCGATTGGTATCCAATCGTGCAGGAGGGATCTGTCTTACAACTGTCATCCAGGCATCATGTTGAGGCCAATGTACTTGTCCATTCCGAGACCTTGGCTGTGATATATCTGTAAGAGGACTCTGAAAGGGTATTTCTTTCCATTTTGCTCTGCAAACTGGACAAATTTGGTTACCATGCTTTACATTTGAAGTGATACAGTTGAAATGGAATGAATGTGAGCATTCTGCTGTAAAGATTGCATGACCTTGGCCTGGTTTCATAGACATCAAACATATCGCACAAGTATTCTGCATTGCATATAAGTAAGTATTAAAAGCCATGAATATTCTGAAAGAATAAGCTAACGAGAACGTATCTCAAAAACTTCTAGAAAACAGATGTCTGAAATCCCTTCGAAAAGCACACATTCAGTCAATTCAATCATTAATCCAAACTTTAGCTTTCAAGTTCAAGTTTTATAAGTCCAGGTTTTGTTCAACAGAGGTTATCATTCATTTCTTTATACCAACAACAACAACACTCCCCGTGTAATCCGAAAGTGAGGCTCGAGAGTTCACAGATCTTTACCAAGGGATTAACTTACAAAAAGTTAACATCTTTGGATTTATAGCTGACAAGTAAATTCCATTTATTCGTAATTCCCAGTACTCCAACTTCATTTTAAATTCTAGATTATGTTTTGCACATATAGAGCCCCAGGAACTGTTGTGTCGCCATGAGTTGGATAATAGTCATCTTTTTTGCTTTTTCCAGGTTCAAACCCTAGCGAAGGCAAAAACATTAATCAAATTCTTCTCATTTGTCAAATTCTTAGTCAATAGAGTTACACGGCAACTGTGTTGGTGTTGGTGAGAGGTATCAAATACCCATGAAACTAGTCAAAGTGAGCGCAAGCTGCTGCGGACACAACAGTTACAAAAGATAGGGTAGTGTTCAGCTCACCTTCCACCCCCCCGCCATTTACCTTCAAACCTCATTATAACAGTAACTTGTTGTAATAGCATTTCACTATAACTGCCTGATTTTCTCCAGAATCGATTTTTCATGTTATATTTTACTTCTCTAAAACAATGATATTCATTATAGTAGTACCCTCTATAACAATCATACTCAAATATTGTGTAATAATAACTTTTACAAAATATATAATGCATAAAAATAAAATACTAATTTCAGAATACATATATAAACTTTATTGATGATACAAATGTCATTTATAACAACACCTCACTATAACGCAGTCATGAAATTTTCAGACAAACACTGTCACTATAACGAGGTTCGACTGTACATATCAGAAGAAGAAAAGCTCATTTGTTTATGACAATCAAAGGAAAAATAAATAAAGTGTCATGTACAGTAATATTGCCATCATATAGCAAAAATTTAGTGTCATTATATAAAGTGTGGCCCTCCTATGTCTGCATGTCAACTACATTATCAAGACAGCCGCATAAAAAGATGAAATTGATGATGTCTAGGCAATTAAGTAATGTCTATTTAAGAATAATAGTAATACTACATGTGCAAGACTGGTCTACCATTACAATAAAGTCAAATATTTTGAGTAGTCAAATATCAAAGCAAAGTAGTGCACATATACTTAAAAAAAAATAAACTTTTGAAAAGTAGATGCAAACCTCAGAAACTCTGAATAATGAAAGCAATATCAAGACAGCTAAATGCAGTGTTCTTAAAATAATCAAGAACCCCACGTTATCAAAAGATGTAGAAATCATTGTTTCAGCCATTAATTAAGAAAAAAAAATCCAATCTTTTTTGTTTGTTTGTTTTTTCAACTCTGAAATTGCTTTCATGAAAGTACGTCGACTAATTTCACAAAATAGGTATTAAGTAACTCTGTTTATCAAGATTAGAACAGATGGAAAGAAATCACGTAGTTTTATGTTTTTTTTTTGTTTTTCAACTCACTTCCGAGTAATTCCACAAAAAAAAAAGTCATATTACACCAACAACAGATATCAAGTAACTTTGTCCGACCGAGCTTAGAACATATGGGAAAAGATCTCCTAGTGTTATGCCTTTCTTTGTTTTTCAACTCTAAAATTGCTTTCTTTTCCTCTGATTCCACAAATATTAGGTACTCTATCTATCGAGGCTAGATTAGTGGAAAGAAATCACCTAGTGTTTTGTCTCGGGCAGGATTTGGATGCTTTCTTGAAAGTACTTAATGGCAAGAAAGCTCTAAAATCAACAGATAAACAGGCTTTTTTTTTCTTGGACTAATGTCATGAAAAGGGGTGATTGAAAATGGCCAAATGAGTTAAAGTCATATGTGTAAAAAATAGTGCATTTGCTGACCAAGCAAAGCACTTTCCCCCTCTAAGAAAATTACTCTCTGGTGTTTCCTTTTTACAATGGACCACTAATATGGGTCCTCCCCCTTTCACAGATATCTATCTACTTTTTATCTCCACCCAACATGTAGAATCTCAAAAACTACATTAGAATACAAAGAGCCATCACCATCTTTACACTAACACTAGTACTTTCTTTGTTTCTATATAGCAATAAGAACCACTTGAAAGGTAAGGACAAATAGTGTCCTTCACTCTTCACATTTCACGGACCAGAATTTTCACTAAGAGGTTCAAAATACGAAAAAGTCAAAAGAAATATAACATCTACTATATACATTTCCCCTCGATCCTACTTGGCTCTGCTCTTGCCTCCACATCTATCCGAATCCCTTCGCTAGAAAAATTACACTGTATATACAAAAGATCAAATCTTTTTATATGTTTATACGTTATACTTCTATATTGAAAATTCTAGCTCCGACACAACATATTACAACCTATCTTCAATCAATAGAAAAAACAAAAGTAAATACTTACATGATCTTATTATAGACAAATAAGAAACTTAAAAGAGTTGAAAACTAGTTCTATTTAAGATAAAGTTGAAAATTAGCTGAGAAAAATTCAGTTCACACTTGGTCATTTTTGTCAACTTGTAATACTCAAAAAATTATCGTCAAAATACTTTTACACCCAAACCAAAAATCATCAAAATAAACTAAAAATAAAAATTCGTAAGAAAAAAAAATCAATTTTTACATTAAACAATTTTCACTATTGAGAATACACTAATGGAGATTCTTGTTAGATGAACTAAACATCAGCTACCTCAAACCAAAAAAAAAAGTGAAAAAAAATCAAAATTTAAACAAGAAATCACCAACCCATTTTGATTTTCAGTAAGATTAATCAAATTAACCCAAAAAAAATAATAAAAACTAATAAAAATTCAATCTTTTTGGTTACCTTGGAAGATTTTGAGGTATGATGTTTAGGCATACGAAGACCAGAGGATGAAGGGGTGGGAGTGGTGGGCATATCAACATGACAGTCGGAATTTCTATTTGGGGTTGTCGGAGACAATGAAACAGCATCGGAAAATCTTCCTCCGGCCACCGTCGACGCCGTCGCCGTCGCCGTCGCCGGTGAATCTTCAAGTGTTTTTGGTATATAAAGACATGTATTTAAACCCAATGCAAGCTTTGCTTTTCTCCATTTACTCCCCATTTTGAATCTTTTGATTTATGAAAATCTTAGCTTAAATTCATAAAAAAAAAAAAAAAAACTCAACTTTTGATTTAATGGAGTTGATAAGAAAAATCAACAATCTTATTATTTGGGTTTTTTTTGGAGTAGTTTTTTTTTTTATAACAATTTTGGACAAATTTGCTTTTATATGTAAACATTGTTTACGTATACGCATTACTATGACCCCCACACCCCCACCCCCACCCCCACCTTGATTTTTACACATGCCTTGAAGTATTCTCCATTTTGACCTTTAAGCCCCCTTTCGAAAACGGATCGAAGAAAACAATGAAGAAAGCATAGTCGTTATTGTAATAAGAAAAATAGTGTGAAGTTTATATGAAAGAAATAAATCTTTGCACGTTCTATTCTTGGCTACTAATCTTCTATCTGATCGTGATTTTTGTTTCTTTTTATATACTTCAAGTCAGGCTTTCAATATTATGAAGTTGTGTTACGTCATGTCTAATCATCACTTATAGTAAATTTTTTTATCTACTTATGCCCTTTTGAATACTCCCGACAACTCACCTCTCACACTTTTTTGATAGAGTGTTTCTTCACGTGCTTAAACCGTCTTCAAAAATAAAATTCTTTTGATAAGTAGGTTTGAGTGTGAATTTGAGTTCATATAATACATTCATGGAATTAGAAACGTATCGAAGATCTAATATTTATGAGTATTTATAAGAAAAAGGATTAAAATACGTACTTAAAGTATTTTTTTTCCCTTAATTCTTATTGCAATAATCTCAAATTAATATGTAATATTCTCCTGCCTTATTTTAGTTCTTCCTGGAATAATTTCAAATTAATATGTAATACTTTCTCTCGTTTTATTTTATTTGTCATATTTAATCATTTAATTAAGTAAAGTAAGAATTAGTGGTGTTATAATCGATACATTAATTGATAATGTAAATAATTATTTAGAATATTTTATTACTCTTGCCCTTGTTGATCTAAAAGTGACGTAGGGTTGGCAATTTTCGATGATAAAAATGTGAAAAAATTCACAAAAGTAGATGCATAATTGCTATTGTTTGAAATAATATAAGCTCTTACATGAATTTTGACCTCTATCATAATTGATATTTTTGACTTTTATTTACTAGAAAAAAATTATTTTGGGCTTTGAATGCACTTAACCATGATGATGTATTAGTGAGAATATAATTGATGACAAAAAAATGTTAAGTGTGTGATAATTAATCGAATCATATTTCTATATGTCTGTGATAATTTAATTGAATCTTAATATAAATAACAAATACCAATGTTAAGTGTGTGATAATTAATCGAATCATATCTCTATATGTCTGTGATAATTTAATTGAATCTTAATATAAATAACAAATATCGGGAAAAAACACAAAAGGGTAAAATTGGAAGAAAAAAAAGGTTGATGAGACCTTGGGATTGGTTAAGGGAGTGGGTCAAAGTTATGTATTGACCTTTCTCTTTGTTATATAAGATGTTTTTGGACTTTGTAGTAGTAAAATAGTCATTGGTTTTACAACTCCACTACTTTATGTCTCTCTCCAATATTTTGTATTTGTCCACGTTTCGATTCAATTTACGTGAAGGTGTTTAGTTGTACATTTCGTATTATACGAGAGAAGTTTGGAACGAACATCTAAAACTGATATTTGAAATGTGAATTATTATTTATGTGAAGGTGTTTAATTATACATTTCGTATTATACGAGAGAAGTTTGGAACGAACATCTGAGGCTGATATTTGAAATATGAATTATTATTTATGTGAAGAGGTGTTTAATTGTACATTTCGATTATACGAGAGAAGTTTGAAACGAACATCCAAGGCTGATATTGGAATATGAATAATTTAATATGGAGGTTCTACTATGAGAAAACAAAAATTAAGATGAGTCTTACTTTGGTACCATATAAATAGATGAATTTATGAAAAAATTATTATGCAATATCAGATAAAAAATAATTGATTATTTTTTTTACTTGAAGTGAGACTTTTTCAATAATTGTATACTAACGTATTTAATATTTATAATACAATTGCTATGTAAACTATCACAAAACAATAAAATTCCAAAGAATTATAAATAACCATGTATATCTATTCACTGGAAAATAGTTATTAATTATTGGTCAAAATTAAAATTGATTTTTTAATGGTTAGCTACAATTGTAAAAATATAAAAAGAAATTAGTCACACGTCATTAGTAGTAATGGCAAATATTATTTATAAGGTGAGTTAAAATAATAATTCATTTTTATCTTTGATTTGGCAACTCCCATAATCCACCAATGATATTTAATTTTGAGAATTGTCAAATCTTTTAGTAAGCAAATACGGCTATTAATTAATTAAGTAAATGAAAATGACAGTTTTTTATTTTTAAGTTTTTTTTTCAGTTAATGTTGATTTTAATTTGAATATAATAATAGTAGAAAGAGACAATATTGTGTAATGTCAAGAAGATATTTCTTTTTAAAAAAATTCAATTGGGCAAATTTTATTTGCGAAATTACGTATTTTGATCAAATTTATATAATTGGACTTTTAAGAAAATTTCAATATTTTCAACTTTTACGATTTAAATAAATTTAAAAACAAAACTAAAACAATAGACTTCCAGAGAAGGAGTGGGGCGCATTGAATTTATCTCAAACTTTTTTTTATCAAAAATTACGTATATATAAATTTAAATTATTTTATATATATATAATAGATATTACATTCTTCTAACTTTTTCATATATTAAATTTTTTAATATTTTATATTTCCTTTATAAAATTTTTGACTCGATTTGGTTTCATCTTCAATATTTGGTGCACCAAATCAAAAAATAAAAATTAACCAAAAAGTTTAAGTTGGTTGAGACTTTAATTATGAGATAAAACAAACTTCCATCTTAATTAACTTATAATAGGGGAAAAACATATTTTGAAGCAATAAATATTATTGGTTTTATTCAAGCCACATATATATATATAAATTAGGTAAGATTTCACATTTGTTGGTTTATATAATTTTCCAACCCTATCGAGAAATTATTATGTGGTATTGTGACCTTCTTTTTTCTTACGTAATATTTAGTGATAGAGCTATAAGTATAATTTCGATAATTTTTAATGATGAAGTTATAATTAAAATTATAAATTTAACAAAATTTACTAACTTTTATTTATATTAAAAAGTCGTTGGAATTTTTTGAGCCATTGACAATTCTATTATGTTGCTTATACTATGAAAGATATAATATTTTAGTTGTGAGGCACGTGTTATCGGAGTAAATATTTAGTAATAATATTGGAGTTTTAACTAATTTGTATTTGCATTTTATAAGACTCGCTAAAGGAAAAACGCTTCTTATCAATTTTTATTACTACTAGAGTAGAACAAGAAATCTCTGATTGAAAATAAAAGAATCTTATTCATCTCATCACAATCTTCGAAGCAGAGAGAAAGAAATAATTACTTTCACTATCTTAATGAACTATTTGTCAGATTCAAAGGGTATGAAATACACGGTTCTAATTGTGAGACACGTGTTGTTGGATTATAAAATTCGATATCAATTTTGAAACTTCGGATAAATCAAAATTTGCATGGTATAACGCTCCTTATAGGCAACACCATTCCCTATCATTTTCTATCATCACGACTAATATTTTCAAAATCTCTAATTAATAATAAAAAGATTTCGTACATCGAATCACACCTATAACGAGGAATAAATAGTTACTTCCACTATCTTACTGAAGTAGTTGTGATTCACAACCCTATAATTGTAAGACGCATGTTGTTGGAGTATAAAGTGCGATATTAAATTTGAATCTTCGATTAATTAAAATTCACATTGTATAATGTTTGTTACAGGATGAATTATATCTTAATTCTTGCCATTTTTCTATCATCAAAGCTCGTATTCAAATATTTTGATCAATAATAACAAAAAAAAAATCTTATACATCATATCACAATCCTCGATCTGATAAGGAAGGCATAGTTACTACCACTATCTTTGTTTGGTCTATTTAGCAATGAACTAGAAGCACTAAGAAAATTGACTAATTTTAGTTAAAGGGATTATCTTAAAGTCATTTTCATAAATACCTCAGCCAAAATATAAAAAAAATAAAAATATGTCTTCTCTGAGTAATACTATATTATATATGCTAAGCAAATATGCCAATTTTTAGTTTGACCTCTAATTGTATATGACAGCTGGCCATACATC